CGACGAGAACGCCGGCGGTGTGTGTGTGTGTGTGTGTGTGTGGGAGAGAAAGCGAGAGGGTAGCTGGAAGAGGGAGAAAGAGACCGTAGGAGGTAGCGCCTTTTGGTGGGGACGTCGTGGACCGCACGCCGCCGCCAGGGACGCGTGCTGGCAGCTGCACGAGGAAACACGCGAGGGCGGAGAACTGAGGGAACTCCCCACCCCCCAACCGACACAGAAACAAGCAAAGGTGATTAAAACAATACGTGCAGGCACAAGGCGGCCGCGGTGTCCCACACGACCGGAGACAACTTACCGCATCTCCTCACAACCGGTGTTCGTGTTTCTTTCTTGCTTTTTTCGTACTTTTATGTTATTTATTTGCAGGCTGCATGAATGCGTGCGTGCGCACAGAGCGGCCTCGCTCCCTGCCTCCGCAGCGGCACGGCACAAAGCTCACCCCCCCCCTCCTACACACACACACGGGCAGATGCAATGCCAGAGAGGCACAGTTCTATGGTGTCACTGTAATAAAAGTAAAAACAGGCAACGCGTCAAACCCCCACACAATACACACGAGCAGAAGCCAAGTAAAAAACAAAAAAAAACAAGGACATACACATAAACAGACATAATACAATATTTCCCCTCTCCTTCTCTTTCTCTCTCGCTCCTGCTCGCCCTCGCACCGCGTATATATACACGTATCACTTTCGGAACACAAAGCGGGCTTTGAGGCTCTTCTTGAGGACCTCCATAACCTCACGGATGTTATTCGCCTTGACGCCGTTCACCTCCTCGAGGAACCACACCGGCCGCGACTGGTACCGCTGCACGAAGGGATGCAGCCGCCGTGGGTCGGTGAAACTGAACATCGGCATCGAGCCAATCGCCAAGGTTTTGAGAGTCCAGTCAAAGCGCAGACCAATGTCCCACGCGTCGTCGGCGCTGCGCCGCTGCGCCACCAGCTCATCGTCGTCAAACCGCTCGATTGTCACTCCGCCGCTAGGAAATGTCAGAGCATCCGCAAGGAGTGCCTCCTGCGAGGGGACAACCGCAGTGGCATCGCTCGCCAACGTCGATCCAGGAGCTTGCATGCTCACGAGCGGGACATCCACAGCGCCTTGAGCGGCCGCAGCTGCAACAACAGTCTCGCCTGCAGCAGACTTCATTCGACGCATTTCAGCCTGCTTGCGATAGCGTTCTATCTTTTTCTTTGCCAACTTCTGCCGCTTTTTCGAGCTCAGTTTGACATCCTCTGCTTCAACCATTGGCCTCTTGCACACCGCCTCCTCCTCTGCAACCCTCTTGCGCTCAGCTTCTTCCTCTGCAGCCCTCCTTCGTTCAGCCTCTTCCTCTGCAGCCCTCTTGTGCTCAGCTTCTTCCTCTGCAGCCCTCTTGCGCTCAGCTTCTTCCTCTGCAACCCTCTTGCGCTCAGCTTCCTCTGCAACCCTCTTGCGCTCAGCTTCTTCCTCT